CCCCAAAACCCCAAAACCCCAAAACCCCGTTTTTAGTATATTATTAGAAGATGTATTGAAGTAATAAATTAATCTTAAAAATGACCCATAAATAATTAAATTATGCGAATGATATAGATAAAATGCATCTATTGAACTTTAATCCGAAATGTGAAATTATTGGACAATTATTTCCCAGTTCTATGCCAGTTTAACTGGTAGCGAGGGAGGGACCTATTCGGGCTCCCGAACTCGTTCTTTTAAAAATTAATAGTTTGAATTAGATAATTAAAATAAGTCATATAAAAACTCAAAGATATTTGCTGAGAATTTTAAAATCAAACTAATAGATATATATTTTTAACACGCTTTTAAATTGAATCATATTTTATTTAATATTTTTATCTAAATTAACATTATAATTATTAATAATGGAGATTATAGAAAATTCTACCCTACTTCAATAATAAGCAAGTGACACTCAGTCTAATGATATAAAAGATGGCAAGGCACAAAATGAAGATTAAAAATAGTAGATAGAATAGCCAGATTTCCCTTCAGAGCAATTACCAAAACTTATTATCAGAAATATCTCTAGAAATGTCTAAGAATGCCATTTAAAAGAAATGTTTGAAGTATATTCTAAAGTCAAATCAGTTGAAATACCAAGAGATCCGAGATTTAGAACTAAGTTAGAATATGCAATAGTAGAATTTGATGATATTAAAGAAGCAGAAACTGCATACATACGCTATGATGGAGCTTAATTAGATGGTAAAGTGCTATAATGCAAATTTCAACCAATTAAAAGACCCCGCTTGGTTAAGGAACAATCTCCAAAAAGAAGAGTATCAGAAGATAGAAAAGAATCGAAACAAGATGATAAAATATAAAATAAATCAAGCGAGAAAAATGAAAGCTAAGTAAATGATAGAATATAAAGTAAAAGGAGAAGTTAGAGTAAGGATAGGAAAATCAATTAAGGTAAAGCAAATGGTGAAAGTCGCAAGAGATCAAGAAGTAGGAAAGATGATAGGTCACCTGTAAGAAAAGGTAGATCTAGAGGTAGAGATGATAGTAAATCAAGAAGATATAGCAAAAGTAGAATTGATAATAGAAAGGGAAATAATGATTTTAGGAGCAGAAGAGATAATGGAGGAAATAGATATAGAAACTAAAATAGATATAATGATAGAAAGAATGGAAATAGATTTGATAGAAAGAGATCCCATAGTAGAAAAAGAAGATATTCTTCATCATCAAGTCGTAGCAGACGAAGAAGCAGAAGCAATTCTTATTCGTCTTCATCAAGATCATCTAGTTCGTCTAGATCTTCTTCTTCAAGATCATCATACAGTTCATCTTCAAGATCATCTAAGTCCAGATCTAGATCTCCTTTATCAAAAAGCAGATCACCTCTTACATAAAAGAAATGAGGTCAAATGTAAATTTAATTAATTGATTAACCCTAATCTCCTAATTTATTTTTATCAAACGGGGTTTTGGGGTTTTGGGGTTTTGGGGTTTTGGGGG